GAGAGCACAGTCAGCCCACCTACCCCCAGCCCTATGTGGCTCACTCAGGCCCACTCATGATTATGCCCCTGCATTTGAGCTCCTGATCCTCAGCCACATGGCCCTGCAAGGCAAAAGCTTCAACCTACATCCCTTGGCATATGGTCCATTGTCGTGTGTTCAGGATAGTAGATACGAAAGGAGCCAGTAGACACCAAGAATAAACTATATCTCTAACTTTATTATACACAGAATAGTAAAGGAAAGCAATGCAGAGTTACATAAATCCATTCCAATAAATGAGATAGGTAGCACAGGAAATATAACAACACCTACACCTAGGAGAATACACAAGATATTTAAGGATAGAAACCTACATTTACTTATTTTTATAAATCACACACGGTTCCACCATTAGCAACTTACAGTTGTCGGATGGAAGGTCGTGGCCTCTTTCCCCATGCGCAGAGGCGTCCATGATGCATTTGCCGGTAGGAACAGGCACCACTTCTATACCTATATTTATACTCGACTTGGTTATTCTAATCATATCTACCAATTGATTATATATTGTATAAGACATTATTATTTGTCATGGCAGGACCATCCAGGCTCCCCTACACTACCTCATCAGGATCTTTAGGGTCATCTTCATCACCTCTAGATTATTCAGGATCTCCTGATTAAGCTATCATGGTCTCTTGCCATACTTCCTATCTTTTCTACACATTGGATAGTTTGTTCTTATGCCCTTAATAACATCTCTTTGAAAAACAGCCAACTATCTTCAGTCTTGCTTCTCAACTTTTTTTAAATGGTTCCCTTTTTTGGTTCTATATGATATATAAAGGAACCCTGGGACCACTTGTTGAGGAGAGAGGGCCAAGGATTAGGGGAGTGGGTGTAAGAATCAAAAGTCATTTTTTTTCCCCCCTGCTCATTTTTTTTGTTAGAAATATCAAGTCTTATCTACTTTCTTTTTCCTGAACAACTGAAGAACCAGTGAGATTATAACATACAGCCTCTCTTCGAGTTACGAACGAGTTACGGACCAAACACTTAGCTGTAACTCAATCCGTTCGTAACTTGGACCCCATTGAGTTACATGCGACCGCACGGTTCGTAAGCGTGGGTTGCGTTCATAACTCGGGGACCGTCTTTATGACCGCTCCATGGGAGCTTTGGTCGTAAGTGCGAATGGTCATAACTCGACCATTCGCAATTCGGGGAGCGGCTGTAATGAGATTAGGTAGAAATTTGAGCAGTTGAAAATGAATGGGACCTTTGAACAGACTATTTAAATCTTTGCCTTTTATTAACACCTGTTTACCTCAGACACCTGACAAATATTTGGGAGAAAAACTGTCTTTCTTAAAGATTCAAATACTCTTACCCCTTTATTAGAAGGCTAAGAGAAACCCCTTGCTAGTCCTTTGGTGCTTCAGCAAAACAAGAAAGAGATATGACATTACTCAATCTATTTCTTAAAATCCACCAGGAATAGACTTTGGAAAATAATTGGAGGATGGAGAGAAACTATTTATCCCTTTTCTGCACCTCATGAAGAACAAAAGGGTAGTAAAACCATGTTTCCTTTGCAAATTAGTTAATAGTAGATTGTTTAATATTTACATTTGGAGCAAAATTAAAAGATTTTTGGCCAAATTCTGCAGTCTTTTCTTATCTCAGCCTCTTATTGAAACCAAGGTTCAGCCTGAGCACCCAAACATGCATCTGAATAACTTAGGCTGTGTCCAGACTCAGGGGTTTTTTCGAAAAAAGTAGCCTTTTTTCGAAAAAACTTCCCCTGCGTCCAGACTCAAGCCGCGTTCTTTCGAAATTAATTCAAAAGAACGCGGCTTTTCTTTCGATGGCAGTAAACCTCATTTCACGAGGAAGAACGCCTTCTTTCGAAAGTTCCTCTTTCGAAAGAAGGCGTTCTTCAATGTAAATAGGGCTTCTTCAAAAGAGAGCATCCAGACTCACTGGATGCTTTCTTTCGAAAAAGCAAGCCGCTTTTTCGAAATTTCTCCGTGCAGTCTAGACGCTCTCTTTCGAAAGAGGCTCTTTCGAAAGATGCTTTTGAAAGAGCCTCTTTCGAAAGAAGCCTGCAGTCTAGACATAGCCTTAGATGCTCATTAGTAATTTAATTAATTAGCTAACTCTTGTGGGAAGTGACTGCAGGCTTGGAAGCTGAATGAAGACTTCAGGACTTGGCCTTTTATAATTAAAAAGAAAATGTTTAAAGTGCATCCATTTAATAATGTTATTTACAAAGTGAAACCAGTTCTGAAGCAGTTTGTCTAATCAATAACCTGACAGACCATGTGGCAGTACTGATTAATGCACCGTCCACGTGTGTAGCAGGGAATAAGTCAAGATAGTGAGTGTCTCCAGGACTCCTGTAGCATGTATTACTCAGCACTGCCACACAGTCAAAACATGTAAGACTTGTGTGTGTAGGATCCCCACTAGGGATGTAAGCAAATAGTTGACTAGTCGACAAGCATAAGCTTATCAGATAGTCAAGTAATGACTTGACTAGTTGCTTCCTCCCCCCTTGCTGCCTCTATCAGTTAAAAGCCAGTTCCCCCCAACATCATCTCCATGGGGGGGGGGACGGCAGCAGGGAAAGCAGAGGCACAGTGGGGAAACAGTGCAAATGGGGACTGGAGCAGTTCCTGTTCTCACTAGTTCCGACTGCTGTGCTTTTGAAATATACAAGAGCCCTACAGGGCTCTTGCTACATTTCAAAGGCTGAAGCGCTGCAGTTCCCTGCTGCTTTTCTGCAATGTAGTAAGAGCCGTGGGTGGCTCTTACTACATTAAAAAGGCTGAGGCGCAGCTCCCCCTTATCAACTAATTGAGTAGTTGATGGAAATTCCATCAACTACTCGATTAGCTGATTAATTGAAATGTAACATCCCTAATCCCCACTGAAATTGGTGAGAGTGTTTAAAATTACTTTGTATTTTAAAAATGGTGTGAATTAAGGCTGTTAAGAAGCAGGTAATTGATTAATCGTATAGTCGATACAATTTGCATTGACTACACAATTAGTAGATATGGGGTGCTGGGGGTCCAGGAGCTACCCCTGCTTTGGCTCTGAGTTTAAATGTAGTAGGAGCCGGGAGGCTTTAAAATGCAGAGGTGCAGTGGTCCAGGACCCAGCTCACACTGGTTCCTGGACTACTGGGCCTCTGTGTCCTCTGCCCCCTCCCCCGCATCACAGAGACAGTGCTGGGGGGAACCGTCTGATACAGAGGCAGCAAGGGGGAAAGCAAGTAGTCGAGTAGTCACTCAACTATCCAGTAAGCATAGGCTTATTGGGTTGTTGACTACTCAACTAGTTGCCTAGATCCTTAGTGTGAATTTAGTGCTTGTAGAACATGCCACCTTCATGGACTTGAAGACTGAAATTCTTTTTATCCACAGAAGGGGACCGGCCAGGCAAGCTTCCCCATTCATGTACCTAGATCCTGGTTGTAGGGGAGAAAGGTAGTTCATTCTTCATGCCCAGTGATGCCTTGGCCTCTGAGCTGAGACTGCTAGAAAATGTGTCAGTCAGTTGCAACTGTGGAGGTAATTTTTGTGATTTGGACAGGGAGCTAGAGTGAGCTCATCAGTTCAGTTCATGCCACATATGCAAAGCCCTTTATATTCTCGGAAGAATTCCTGGGTTTTGAAAAAGCCACAATTTGGTTTTCACTGGCTTTTCACCTCAATTTTGGGTTTTATAGAATCTGGGAATTTTCCAGAGAAGCTCTCTTCCTGACCCTTCATCACAGCCCCAGGGTGCACAGTCCCATCTGCACCTCTTCCTGACAGAACCTGTGGAGGGGGGAGATCTCTTCCTGACCCCAACTTGTTTTCAGTACTAGTCTGTCCACTTTCCCTGCATAGGCTCTGTTTGCACGGATGGGCTATGTCAGCCGGGGAACAGAAGGCTGCACTCCCATAAGCAGGCCTGCTGACTGGAGAGTGGTGGGGAACAAAGAGGCAGCTGCTTTCAGGCCCTGCAATTTAAAAGGGCCTGGGGTTCTGGCCTTTATATCCCTGCTGGAGCCCCATGCGTCACAGTCTGGACAGCGCTGAGGACCGAGTGGGGAAGGCTAGCCCCATCCCCACTTCTTACATCTGAGACCCTGCCCCTTCTGGGGTGGGCCTGGCGAAGTCTGTCATCAGCCTTGCCCATGAGCATTATTGGACAGAGCCCGCCTCAGACACTGGCTCTTGAGCACAGCCCCAGGGCATAGAGGCCTGTTCATATCCCCTGCCGGGCATTGGTATGCTGGCATTGTCCCCTAAGGGGCATGTCTACACTAGGAAATTATTTCAAAATAATATATTTCAAAACAATAACTCCCAAAATAACTATTTCAAAATAGCGTGTCCACACTACAGGGAAGCTTTCAGTCCGAATCAGGCTCCCTTAATGTAGTTGCACTGTCTTCACTTAGAACCCCAGGAAGCACTGGGGAGTAGTTATTTCAAAATAGGAGCAGTGGAGCATTCACCCCACTGCTATTTTGAAATAACCAGCTTGGAAGTGTGGTTGCTCTGCTTAGTATTTTGAAATAAGGGGAGTTATTTCAAAATAACTCCCTACTGTAGACCAGGGCCTAGTGTAGATCCAGCCTTTACCAACAGATGTTGTTGTTCTGCCAATGTAGGAACACCACCAAACAACGTGAGCCACTTGAAAATATTCTTCTGTCAGCTTACCTGCATTTACACCTGAGGTTTTGTCAGCCCGAACTGTGTTGGTCAGGATTGTTGGGTTTTTTTTAACACCTTTCTCTAACACATCTATGCTGGTAAAACTTTTCAGCGTATCCCAAGCTTTTGGTTTTTTGTGCCTCAGTATCCCATTTGATAATAGTAATGCTGTGAGGGAGGGAACAATAAAGATTCTGAGGTGCTCAGATACTACACTAGTGGGGGTTAGAAGTAAATTAGATAGTGACATCCTCAGCAACTAACAAGATGAACATTTGCAAATATGTGGATTTCTGGTTTTAGGTGAATTCTCTTCAAACCACATTTGGGGGTTTTGAATCCATGATGAAAAGTACTCAGCATAAACAAGAAGTTACAGAGAAGACTGTTAAGCAAGGGGAGAGTGAAATAAACCGAATCAGTGAAGTTCTTCAAAAACTACAAAATGAAATACTGAAAGACCTGTCTGATGGCATCCATGTGGTAAAAGATGCAAGAGAACGAGACTTCATGTCACTTGAAAACACTGTAGAAGAAAGATTAACAGAGTTGACCAGATCTATCAATGATAACATTGCCATATTCACTGAAGTCCAGAAAAGGAGTCAAAATGAAATCAATGATATGAAAGCAAAGGTCGCTTCACTGGGAGAAACAGATGTATATAAACATGAATTCAAGGTGCTGAAAGATACTATTGATGAGATGCAGACATCCTTGAAAACCAAAGAAAAGACCATTGAGTCTCTGAAAAGTACAATAGAGTCCATGGAATCTGATGTTTATACCGAAGTCAAAGAATTAGTCAACCTCAAACAGGAACTTGAGAAGTTCAAAGAGACTGCTGACACAGAATACCTTTCATTAAAAGCTTTTCAAGAGAAAGTTCTTAAAGCTGAAGAATCCATTACACAGCTCCCTGATGAGATTAAAAGACTTGATGAAGATCTACAGCAAATTAAAGCTGATCTTAACAAACAAGAAGAAAACGTACTCTACAAAAATGTGTTAGAAACCCTTGAAAAAACCACTGATGGCTTTGAATCCAGATTCAGAGGTGTAGAAGACAGTTTTCAGTCTCTAAGTTCTGTTGATGCTAAACAGTCTGAAAAGATGGAATCACTTCTTTCTAAGCATGAAGAGTATGAAAGAAAGCTAGCTACTCTAGAGGAAACCATTGCATCTCTACATAGTACTTCAGATGTAGATGTACATTCAATAACAAACACCGTGAGAAGTCTTAGTGAAGCTCAGCTTTCATTATACAATGATGTTGATGAACTGAGAAAAAGTGTGAGTGACCTACCAGACTCTGCCAATGCACTTCATAACATACAAAAACAAGTAAGTGCTTTGCTGGATCAAGAAAAGCCTCAGATGGACCAACCACAAGACAATCTTGAAAAGCTGTCTTCTGTAGAAGGTTCTGTAGATGAATTAAGATCTATTGTCAATCAAGTTGAATCTGACTTGAAAATGATAAGAACTGCAGTGGATAGTTTAGTTGCTTATTCAGTGAAAATAGAAACTAATGAGAATAACATGGAGTCTGTAAAGAGTTCAGTGGATGACCTAAGGAATGAGCTGGATAGATTGTTCATGAAAGTAGAAAAGATACATGAAAAAGTTTAGTGAACAGTGGTAATTGTGCAGTTATTACATTTTTTAAAATAGTTTTTGTATGCCCAGTGTTTTGACAAAGCCAAAGAAAACAAGGACACATAATTAGAGACAGTTCTGCTTAATTCCTGGATCTCTCTTCTGTTTAAAAAATAAAATTAAGGTTTTGTGTGTCTGGGTAGATGGGTGAGAGGGTAAATTACTAATGCCTGATCTACATTACAAGGTGTTCTGCTGTGACTTAAAGCAGCACGAATCTCCCTGCTGTAAACATAGGCCTAGTCTATGCTTAAAATTAGATCGACCTACCTTCATCACTCAGGGCTGTGAAAAATGTTGTGCTGTGTGAGACATAATTAGGTTGACCTAGCTCCCTGTATAGATGCAGCTAGGTCAAAGTAAGAATTCTTCTAGTGACCTAGCCACTACCTCTTGTAGTTAATCCATCTCTCCACTAGCTGAAAAACCCCTTTACACTATAATACAACAGTGGCAGAGCTACAGGGCATAGCTGTGGCACTATAGCAGCTGTAGTGTAAACATACCCATAGATATATAAAGGTGCTTTATACTAGGGATGTAAAATCCCATTTAATTAGTTAACCAGTTAAAAGGGGAGTGGTGGAGGTAGAGAGCCTCACAGAAGGCTGGAAGCAGCAGGTGGGGTGTGAAGAGGCTGCTGGCTTGTGCGAGGGTGATGCTTACCCGTTACCTGTTCACATCCGTACTTTATACTGGGTTAGCTATTCCAATAGTGGAAGGGGAGTAACTATATTGGCATAAGTTACCTTTATAGTGATGTAACTGCATCCACGCTAGGGCTTTTAGTGTTATGATTGTTTTTGAATAAAACCAAACAAACTCACCCTTAACCAAAATATTCAGGCTGGTAATTTTTTTATGTGTAGACTAAGCCTGAGGCAACTCATCTGTTCCTTCGGCTTATTACACAGTGGAGGGAAAGAAGCGAGTTCTGACTGCCATGTGTACATAACCACACACGGGAAAATTCATGGAGCCGGGAGAAGAACAGGGCAAGTAGGCTCAGGCTCTCTTAAAAAACTTGAGATGAGAGATACTGAGGGGGTGATTCATGACACTGCTAAGAAGTACAGGCACTTGTCCCCATTTTCCTTTTCCCCAGCACCTCCAAAGCCTCATGTCCAGATCAGCATAGCTGAGGAATCTGAATGGATACATATAATTCATTGCCAGAGGGCTCGGTAACATTTTGCTGTGTTATTTTGGGATGATGTACATTGTCAAAAGTTTTTCCTTGACATCCTAGTTTCTTGTGATATCCCAGTTAGTTGCTGTGGAGGTGATTGGGGCTTTGAGTGAGGAAGACTGAGGAGGGGAACTAAAGCAATGCAGCCCATGCTACACAGCTTGCTAGTCTTGACATACCCTGACATAAGAGTTGTTCTGCCACTGTAGTAACTCCACCTCCCTCAGTGATGTTAGTTGTGCCTCCAAGAGCCCCTCTATCAGCATGCAAACTGGGGAGGGAGGATAGTTTATGCTGTGCCACTGGCATGTGTGTGCTTCTCACACTCCAACTGACTTAGTAAAGCCAGTGTACGTTTTAGGTGTAGACCAGGCCTAAGCATGCTAATAATACCACAGGAGGAGAAAGAGAAGATTCAGAGTGATACCAACAGAATTGTTTCTAAAAAAATCACCTTTTTAAGATTATCCCTGAGGTGACAGTGACTTTAATTAGTATTATTTTATTCTGTACCATTGGAGTCACTGGGAGTGTCATTAACTTCAGTGCAGTGGGAACAAGCCTTAGGTTGGCTGAGAACCAGAATGTGTCAAATATTAAAGAATTCCAAGCACTCTTAAGAATCTCTTGAACTTTTTAGGGGTTTGTATCCTTGAGAAGGATTTCTGATTGCTGTTTTCCAAAGGTACTTATGCCTAGGTGCAGGCCGCTCTTTAAATGGGGATAGATGCTAGCCCATAGAGAGTATAATGCATGCCTTATCTTAGTCAACTCTTTGGCTACATTAGAAAATGATTCCTAGAATTAGCACCTTCCACAAGTGGTAATTTCTGGGAACAGAAAAGGGGGAGCCCCCTCAGATATTAAAGAATAAAATATCCAGCCACCTCTAATGCTGTTCCTTCTGTATATAGTGAAAAGTTGCTAACAGGTCAACTAAGTCTTAATAAGGGAGGCAGATGTACTGCACTGAGAGAGTTTTTTTTTTTTTTTTTTTTTTTACCTTTTGATCTGAATTGTTCTTTATTGACTTTCCTTTTCAAGTTTCTAACAGTTGTTTAGGTTACTGTGAAGTGAACTGTATAGCTTATTTACAGTATTTTTAATACATAATAAACACTTGGTATTTGTATTTTGATTTTTTTCATATTGCTTATTGTGAAAGGTACTTAATTTAGCATTTTTTCCCAGAATATTTCCTCGGGGGTTCAAGAGGTACCTGGGCGAGAGATGGAAAAGCCTACCATTTGTTTATCAGAGTCTCAGCTTTAATTTCTAAACCAAAAAAACCCCCAAATAGCAGCTATGATGGTTGTGAAGAAAAACTTGACAATGTGACCTGAGCGTAAGCGATTCAACAATGTTCATCTGAGTTTGCAAAGAGCTTGGAACAATTGCTCTGAGTTGCGAACTGTCTCATTTATTTCAATAAATTCTAATCCAGACACCAACAATGCTGTTTTAAAACCCCAATTATTTAATTGCTCAAAGTGTGTAAAACAAATATTTGTCAGCTCAGTGCAACTGTACCTGTATTCCCCCTCTAGGGTCCAGACAGGAAAGCCACTCTAAGTTTCTCAGCTATCACCTCTTTTGGGAAGAGCCTGCTTCTCTTTCCCACTGCTCTGCTACCACTGTGTTTTTCTCATCAAAGAGTCTAAGCAGGCCAGCTTCGTTTCTCCTTTCAGATGATGTGCAGTGTAATTGCCACAATTTTGTTACCAAACAGTTTTTTCTAAGCAAGCAGATTTTATTTTTAATGTAAAAACATCACAGAGAAAACGTGTTAAAAACACTAAAGAACCTACACGCTAATAAGTTTATAAGAGATCACCTGGACCCAGATGTGAGTTCTGACAGGTGAGCAGCCCTATTCCTGTGGTTTCAAATTCATAACACCTTTTGCTTAGACTAGAGCAAGAACTCCCATGAATCTGAGAGTCCTTTATCCAGTTTGGGATCTTTGAAGAGACAGGGAATAGGGAATCAGCCAAACAATGGGTTCTCATCTCCAGGGCAAAACTTCAAGGGGGTGAGATTTTTGCCTAGCTAGAGGCGTTATATTAGCATACACCCTCTCCTGGCATTTTCCTGAGAAATCCACTTAATGTTACAAGTTCATGTTTCAAAAAGTCATTTGAAGTACCTAGCATTTCCCCAAGTTGACGTTAGCCCCATCTCCTAGAGGAGTTACTTGCACTTCCACAATAACACCTAAACATAAGAACAGTCATGCTAGGTCAGACTAAAGAGCACCTAGCCCAGTATCCTGTCTTCCGACAGTGACCAATACCAGGTGCCCTGGGGGGAATGAACAGAACAGGTCATCATCAAGTGATCTATCCCCTGTCGCCCATTCCCAGCTTCTGACAAAAGGAGGCTACAGGCATCATTCCTAACAGCCATTGATAGAACTATCCTCCATGAATTGATCTAGCTCTTTTTGGAACTCTGTTAAAATCCTGGGCTATACAGCATTCTCTGGCAAGGAGTTCCACACATTGACTGTGCATTGTATGAAGAAATACTTCCTTTTATTTGTTTTAAACCCATTACCTATTTCGTTTAGAGACTCCTACTCCTTGTATTATGGGAGCAAATAAATCATTTTTCTTTTCTACTTTCTCCACACCAGTCATGATTTTATAGACCTCTGTTATATCCTCCCCCTCAGTCTTCTGTTTTCTAAACTGAAAAATCCCAATATTATTAACCTCTCTTCATATGGCAGCCATTTCAAACTAAGGATGTTAAGTAACGGTTAATTTACTAGTCAAATAGTCGATGGGCATTTCTGCTGGGGCTCTTGTACATTTCAAAGGAGGAATGTGGAACTCTGCATGCAGCCCGGGGCCAGCAGGAAGTCCCTCTGACTCCAGGCTGCACATGGGGTGCCGCTCTGAAATGTACAAGAGTCCCCCACTGACCCTGGGCTCCATGTGGCATTTCAGCAGAACCCAGAATCAGCTGGGGACTCCCCAGCTGACTGCAGTTCCACATGGCATTTCCCCAGAACCAGGGGTCAGCTGAGGACTCCCCAGCTGATCCCGGGTTCTGAGGAAATGCCGCGCTGGATCTCAGGGTCAGCTGAGGATCAGCTGTGCGACACTGCCCCTTTGAACGCTGCCTTGGCATTTCAAAGGGGCAGTGCCGCACAGCTGATCCTGGGCTCAGCCTGCCACTTTGAAGTACCCCCTCTATTCCCACTTTGCTGCCTCCATCTAATAGAGGCAGCGGGGGGTGGGGGGAAGGAGGTCATCTGACTATCTGATAAGCATTTGCTTATCAGATAGTCAACTAATGCTTAACATCCCTATTTCAAACCCCCAAACATTTTTGTTGCCTTTTTCTGAATTTTTTCCAATTCCAAGATATCTTTTTTGAGATGAGGTGACCACTGCATGAGGTATTCAAGATGTGGGCGTAGCATGGATTTATACAGAGGCAGTTAGATATTCTTTGTTTAATTCTCTATCCCTTTTTAAAGTATTCCTAACATTCTGTTTGCTTTTTTGAGTGTTGCTGCACATGGGGTAGATGTTTTCACAGAACTATCCACAGGGACACCAAGATCTCTCTCAAGTGGTAACAGCTAATTTAGTCCCCATCATTTTAAATACAACGGACCCCAAAACTACACAACTTAAAAGCTTCAATCAGGTTTATCCAGGAAATTGCCCCATTTGTCAGAGTGGGTGTGTCTGCACTGCATTTAGATATCCTAGCTGCCCTGTGCCAGGTGACTCAGCTGAATTCCCTGAGCCCAAGAGACTTGTTCCCTGAGCCCAAGAGACTCTAAGGCTATGTCTACACTGGTGCGATCTTGCGCCAGAGCTATGCAAATGAGGGTAAGCGTGGAATATCGCTGAGCTTCATTTGCATATCTAATGAGCCGCCATTTTTGCGGAAGAGGCTCTTGTGCAAAAAGCAGCTGTTTACACTGCCCCTTCTTGCACAAGAAAAACCCTCTTGCACAATGCTGTTATGCCTGAAAATAATCAGCATAACAGCATTGCACAAGATGTTTTTTCTTGTGCAAGAAGGGGCAGTGTCGACAGCTCTTTCTTGCGCAAGAGCCTCTTCTGCAAAAATGGCAGCTCATTAGATATGCAAATGAGGCTCGGTGATATTCCACGCTTAGCCTCATTTGCATAGCTCTGGCGCAAGATCCCGCCAGTGTAGACATAGCCTAGGACTCTCCTACCTTGCAGGATCTCCTACCTTCAGGCTCTCGCCCAACCCTGAATGTCTAGACTGATATTACACAGCCCCTTAGCAGAACCCCAGGAGCCAAAGCCACCTGGCACGGTTTTAGTTGCAGTGTAGACATACCCAGTGTCATGTAGAACTACGCAATCTAGGGAGGCAGCAATGGCTCACTTCGAATGGGCGGGGTGGAGGCATGATAGGAGAGGGTGGGGGTGGTTACTCTGCTCAACGATGAGGAGCCAACTCCAGAGTGAGAAAGTGGAGCCTGGCAGCTGGTATCTCTGTCAACAGGGATAGCTGCTCGTGGGCCTGGACCAATCAAGTATCTACCCCCTCCCTAGCCTGAGCCCGGAGCCTGCAGTGGCCACTTCACCCCATCAATTCTACTCTTACCTCTGAGCCTCTATCCTCCAACATGTGTGTGGTTTCCAGGGAACTCTGGTTCCTAGAATGTGTAGTGGTACAGTGCACGTGGGTAGAAATGTAGTCACCCCTGCAATTTTCCATTGTAGTGGTACTAGCCCCTACTGCTCCACTGGTTCTGCTGCCCATGGCACAATTTGACCTGAGTGACTACTCATTTAGGGTAGTCCTTTAACACTAGTTCCAAGAGGGTGCTAGTGGTTTCATTTACATGAAGGAAACTGCTTTGAAAAGCTTGCGAAGTGCTGATTTTATCTGGATTTTCCCACACACACAGAAATTAAGCATAAGATGGGCCTGAAACAAATTTACAGCACAAGCTGTCTCTGAATTTGAGGGAGTCAAGCCCAAACTAGAATTTCCTAGCTAAGCCTTGTCTCAGAATGAGCAGAACAAAACCAAAACCTGTTCAGATTTGAACACCTGCTATTTTCAAGGGTTCAAAATCCAGGTCAGAATATTGCAATTTAAGCCCACCCATGGGAAAAGCAAAAGAAGAAAGGATTTGGTGTTGAGAACAGCTTTCCAGAAGTCATTATTGACAGTCTTGATTCAGCCCATCTCCACAAAATTACCTAAGTCTAAATATCTGTATGGATATAGGTCTTGCTCTTATTTACAGCAAATCTTTTGGGCTATGTTTATACTGCAGCACTATTTTGGGATACCGGAGTATCCTGAAATAGCTATCCTGCATCTTCACAGCAAGTCCATTACTTCGGGCTCGCTATTCCAATGTCCCTGTAAACCTCATTCTACGAGGAGTAAGGGGTGTTTCAGAATAGCGCTTTAATTTGAAATTTGGTGTTGTGCACCCAATGAAGAAATAATCTATTTTGAAATAGCATTGAAATAAGATATGTGCCGTGTAAACGCATCCTTGCGGGTTGGTAGAAGATCTCACTAGCAGAATTGTTACTGTCAAGAGGATGAAAATCCCACTGCCTTCAGACTTGCTGTGTAGGCTTCCCAGGTGTCCTGTATTTGTGGCCTCTGTCCGGTAAAACCCCCCAGAAAATACCTGTTTTTTCTTGGACGGAAGGCCGCTTGGGACATTCTTCCCCTGCCGTGTCTGGCATGGGCAGGGGGAGTAGGGAGCATGGAGATTTAAAGGTGCAGTGACTGGCTTTTTTCCTGCAGTTGGCTTTCTTTTTTTTTTTTTTTTTTTTGCTCATCCAATTTTTTGTGAAAGTATCTGGCAACCCTATTGCTGTGTTCTGTCCCAGACTGATGCCAATAATAGCATGTGGGCAAAGTATTAACGATCATTTTATGAACCAGCAGATGCAGAAAACATTTCTACCAATAAGACAATAGGATTTACAGGGTGTCCCTGTGTCCCTACAGGTTTCAGAGCCTGGCTCCCATACTGGATGTTTGTGCAGCTCATCATGGCCATAAAGTTGGTGGATCAATACTGTGAGAATTCACATGAATGGCTTGTGTGGGAGAACTCCTGTACACTTGGCATGATCCTAGGGAGAGGAACTGGGACATCCTTACATC